CACCACTTGACAGCGTTAAACTAATCATAACGTCACTTATTATACCCGAGGTGCGATAAATAATATTGTCAATTCACTCTTGATATAGCAAAAGATAAGGAAAATTTGTAAATTTGGTTACGTATATATACTGGATCCCGCTGATTCTCCGAATATGTATAAAACCAGATACAAGTACAGGGAAAAATATGAAATGCAGCAAAGATTAACACTTTTGAATTTTAATCACTATAAAAATTCAAACAAATAAATATAATGCATCAAGAAGACCACAAATATGATTTATGTTTAAATAGAGAAGACCATGTACTTTCGACATATGTGAGTTTGAATGTCACTCTGGTATCATTCGCCTCTCTTTTAAATTCTTAAAATGTAAGCATGAGAAACTGATAGATTTCGGGAAACTGTATCATTCTAATGACAGTGTGGACCAGTCTGAACAATGGCGCACGAAAAGAGCATGAGACTTTTTTGTACCTTTCCATTTTATAAAACAAAATTGTTAACCATGCATTAACATTTTTGTAAAACATAATGAAAACAAGAAATGATTGTAACAGGATGCTGTTACGAAGTCTCCCAAACGAAGCTCCCATAATTCATAATTCCAAGGGTCGCCTGACATTGGGCAATGTCCAGTGAAAATTGGTTTGGTCCAGTAAAGTTATATGCATTAGTGATGCCTGGGGACTAACCTTGTATATCATTCAAATCATCTTGGCATGACAAACCAGAATATATTTGTTTTAGGAGTGGGGATCTCGACCATTTACAAGATACTAGAACATTAGGGGTGGGGAGGAACCCCTGGGGACTGGCCCTATACGTCATTCAAATGTTCATTACATGGCGAACAGGAATATGTATGGTTTAGGGGTGGGGATCTCAACCATTTACAAGATATAAGAACATTGGGGGTGGGGGGAACCCCTGGGGACTGACCGTATACGTCATTCAAATGTTCGAGAAATGACAAATAGGAATATATATGGTTTAGGGGTGGGGATCTAAACCATTTACAAGATATTAGAACTTTCTTAAATGGCAGGGGGTGGGGGTGACCCCTGGGGACTAACCCTGTATTTCATTTGATATGCTTTATCATGACAAACCAGAATATATATGGTTTAGAGGTGGGGATCTCGACCATTTACAAGATATTATAATTTTCTCAAATGGCAGGGGGTCGGGATGACCCCTGGGGACTAACCCTGTATATCATTCAAACCATCTTAGCATGACAAACCAGAATATATATGGTTTAGGGGTGGGGATCCTGACCACTTACAAGATATTAGAACTTTCTTAAATGGCAGGGGATGGGGGTGCCCCCTGGGGACTAACACTGTATTTCATTTGATGTGCTTTATCATGATAAACCAGAATATATATGGTTTAGGGGTGGGGATCTCGACCATTTACAAGATATTAGAACTTTCTCAAATGGCAGGGGGTCGGGATGACCCCTGGGGACTAACCCTGTATATCATTCAAACCATCTTAGCATGACAAACCAGAATATATATGGTTTAGGGGTGGGGATCTTGACCACTAAGAAGATATTAAAACTTTCTTAAATGGCAGGGGGTGGGGGTGACCCCTGGGGACTAACCCTGTATATCATCTGATGTGCTTTACCATGACAAACCAGAATATATATGGTTTAGGGGTTGGGATCTCGACCATTTACAAGATATTAGAACTTTCTCAAATGGCAGGGGGTTGGGATGACCCCTGGGGACTAACTCTGTATATCATTCAAACCATCTTAGCATAACAAACCAAAATATATATGGTTTAGGGGTGGGGATCTTGACCACTTACAAGGTATTAGAACTTTCTTAAATGGCAGGGGGTGGGGGTGACCCCTGGGGACTAACCCTGTATTTCATTTAATGGGCTTTATCATTTAGAACATTTTCAATTAAAAAGATTGTGTCTATCACAAACGGTTTTCAATTTATAATCATTTGAAAATTTAAAAATATAAAATCCCATAGTGTTCTATAGTAAAACCCTCTTTTCTTTTTGCCCCTCAAAGTACCCCTTTATAAACCCCATTGCACAAACAAAACCCTGATTGCACCACTAGACATGTAAGTCTAACATATTGTGAAACCCTAAGTTAATCTGACAAGCGGTTTTGGAGAACGGGTGCGGACAAGTTCAAATTTAAAAGCGGCGGAAGAAGAAGAAGAAGAAGAAGAAGAAGAAGAAGAAGAAGAAGAAGAAGAAGAATAATAATAATAAGAACTGAGCAAAAACAATAAGTCTTCCCAAACTTCGTTTGGGAGACTTAATAAGAAAACACGCATCTGCTTGTATTATTCAAATGACATAGTCTAAAAAAAAAAATTTAAAACTGTATAATTCTGTCATCGAAATCGCTTGAAGAGGTACTTTTCTACTGTTTTCGACTCACAAGTTTTATAACAACCTGATTAATTCTTGTTTTGTTAGGTTCATGGTCTTTATCTTTACAACTAAATGTGCGGATTTTCAATATTAAGAAGGTTGCTGCAATCATAGCAGGAAATAATTACCGTTAAGACACATCTTGTCTCGCCCCAGTCAGCTCGAACATCATACCATACCTTGTTTTTTTCATATCCAGGCGTGTTTATGTGCTTTATTTTTAAATGATGTTGGTTATCTTGGTTTGTAATGTTCAAATGATTCTCATATATATATTATATTTAATTCATATATATATTTTCTTTTGCTAGGCATTATGCATAAGATCTGAAAAATAACGACAAAAAGATTGACTAATCATTTAAACCATTGTCCTGACGTCAGCCTATTCATTTACAGTGGATTCTTTTTCTAGAATCAACGCTTACTAAATCTGTCGCTTAAATGGACTCACCAAATTATATTCAATAATTTCCTTTGTGTGCCTAATTTTATTAAGTTTGAATTGGCTAATTTACTGAAATCTGTTCACTAATGTAATTAATTTAAAAACTTGCCTTTAATTTTTGTAATAATTTTTATATGCCTTCACTGGGAATCGAACCCCTCCTTGAAATCTGTTATGTGTGACTAGCATCAACACATCGACGAAACCTCACGGCTACCAAATTATGGGTTGCAATTTAAATGTCTATTATAAACATTGTTATGATATTGTAATTATTATATTTATTTATCTTGACCTAATTTGTTTTGTGAGGCCTTATACTATGTTTAATATGTTTACATAATACTTATAATTTTTTACAACTGTGCAGTTTAGAAATCACTGGAACAATCATAGATACTGATGGAATGATTAGAACTTTCTATTTGACTTACATAATAATTCTGAAATGAGTTATTTTAACTTCTACCATATTCTAGAAGTTTCCGTTCTACAGTTTTCTAGGAGTTTCACTTCTACAGCGTTCTAGAGATTTCCGTGACAACTATATATATATACAGACACTAAAGTTAGACTTTCAGAGTAGACATTAATATTCTCAGAAGTTCTCTGGAGTTGTTACATTGACACTATTATTTAACTACATCATACTATATTGTGATTTATTGGACATACTATTCTGTTTGGATTTCCGCAACAGTGAAGAGAAAAATTCCGGATAAAGAAAAGACAAAAGGATCGGACATATATTTTAACAGTTAAGTTGATATTTCAATTTGTATAATATTTCTTGTAAAATTGTATAATAAATCTTGTTAAATTTTATTATTGATTTGTGTCTTTTGTTGTCTACAATTTAAAGGTGATTTCTGGCCGTAACAACATATATATATATATAAATGAACATATGATATATATATCGGTACAACGGACACACACGGCTTTTTCCTTTATGTTTTCATAATAGACAATCGTAAAGGATAAGTTGGTAGCCGCGAGGTTAACATGGTTACAATCAATAAGTTAAAAAGTCACGTAAAAGGTAAAGACTGTCGGTTTATGTTCGAATCCCTGTATTCTCTTTGTTGTCCCTATTCTTTAGTTTTTCTTATTTTGTAAGTTATTGTGAATGTTTTTGTAATAATAGCGGGTTTTCCCGTCTATTTTTGGATTATTATTGGTTATTATTGATAACTATTTACACCACTGGGTCGATGCCACTGCTAGTGGACGTTTCGTCACCGTTGGTATCACCAGCCCAGTAGTCAGCACTTCGGTGTTGACATGAATATCAATTATATGGTCATTTTTATAAATTTCCTGTTTACAAAACTTTGAATTTTTCGAAAAATCTAAGGATTTTCTTATTCCAGGAATAGATTACCTTAGCCGTATTTGGTACAACTTTTTGGAATTTTGGGTCCTCAATGCTCTTCAACTTTGTACTTGTTTGGCTTTATAACTATTTTGATCTGAGCGTCACTGATGAGTCTTATGTAGACGAAACGCGCGTCTGGCGTATTAAATTATAATCCTGGTACCTTTGATAACTATTGGCTATTTCACATATTTGAAAAGAAAATGATTACATTCAATTTGTCCATTTTTGTTTTATAAATATAGTATGCTTTCATCTGTTTGCCTACATATCTTTACAAATGTTTGTAGGCAAATCCCTTTGCGAGTAAATCGTGATGTGCCTAGAATTAGGCTTCTTGATAGAATTTTCGGTAGCATACTTGTCATATATAATTAGAAATAAGTTCGAATAGGTCTTATTTTGTAAATTGCGGATGATGTTCAGATCCCTGATAATTTAAAGACAGACGTGCTATGTTATATTTTGTATTTCTCCGACCAATAAATTGTAAACTTAGATTTATTAATGCATCGTTGGACATGAAAACATGATTATGTAAACTCACTAACAATACCTTCTAATTAAGAAAAGGCTTTTATTTTGAAAAGACATCAACACAATAGTTTATAATCGAGAATTGCCTTCCGGGCTCATGGTTTCTTTTTCAAGAATCAACGCTTATTCATTGGATCTGTAATACTTAAACGATGTTTGTAATCAATTTATAACCGATTTAAGGTCAACCAGGGAATGTAATTTAAAAGGTAAATTAAAATGGCGACAGCGGTAGAAGTGAAAGACGAATTAAGTGAGTTATTGACATGTCCCATATGTTTAGAAACTTTCCGTGATCCAAAATACCTCCCGTGTCTTCATACCTTTTGTGAATCATGCATTTCTACGTACATTATTTCGTCAGTTACAAAAGAAAAAGACCAAAGTGGGTTTAAGTGTCCGGTTTGTCGAAAGTTGATTTCACTCCATGAAAACCCTGGTGTTCCAGGGACATGGGCAGAGCAACTGCCAATAAACCATCTCATAACATCGATGATGGACCTAAAAGACATAAACAGATTGGAGAAGGTGTGTAACGCATGTCAGTTGAGTAATGCATCGAAAAATGCCGTGTCTTGGTGTACAGTATGTTGCGAGGCATATTGTACAGAGTGTACTAACTATCATAGAAAGTTTCGAATGACATTAAATCATAAAATAATTTCTATCGAAGAACTGAAATCTTCTGAAGGAGTATTTGGTAAATCAGGGGTCGTTTTTTGTGATGAACATCCTGATAAGGCCATTGAAGTATTTTGTGATGACCATTCCAAACCATGCTGTACATTATGTGCAACAATTAATCACAGAAAATGTGAAAGCGTTACTACCATTGATAAGGCTACTGCCGGTATCAAAACAGCAACCAAAACCACGGAACTTTATCAGAAATTGGAGACATTCGGTGAGGAAATTGATAGTTCTCTTCAAATCAATGAACACAACAAGACTGCCATTGAAACCGAAAGTATCAACATCATATCAGAGATTGACAGATTAAAAAGTAACATTATCAAACACTTATCCAGAATGGAAAATGAAATAAAAATCGAATTATCAACAAAAAAGGGAGAAATTTTGAAAGCCATAGAAAATGATGCCATAGAACTGACGAGTCTGAAATGCACGATTGATAACTGGAAAAGGATCATGGACACTTGCATTAAACATGGATCGGAACTCCAATGTTTGACAGAAGTAAACACGCTCGTAACAAAGAGAGACGAAATTGAAAACCGTATCAAAGATACAATGTCTAAGTTAAAAACAAAGTCTTTGATATTCAAGCCAATTGATTCCGTCAAAAACTTTGAAAATAGTGAAAATGCATTCGGTAGCTTAACTATATCCGGGTCAATGGTGCATATGCCGTCCGTTGATATACAAACGGGAAAAATAGAAGTTGTTCACGTTTTTGATGTTGCTAATGGACAGTCACGATTTTCGTTTGGAAGTGGTATTTTCCTTTGTAATTCCATATTATTAACAAACAAGCCATCGTTCAGAGTTGTTAAATTCAATCGAGAATTTGTCTACCAAAGTGAATTGAAGTTACCATATGGGCCATCCGATATTACAAAAATAGACGATTCTAAAGTTGCTGTCGGAGCGAAACCACAGATCATCATTATAGACGTGAAAAACATGCAAATAGAAAAAACTTTAACATTAAATGTTACGTTTTGGGGGCTTACGTATGTTTATCCGGAATACATAGTGGCGCATAGTAAATCTTTAACGTGGATAGATGCATCTAGCGGTTCAGATAAAAAGGATTTCAAGACAGATGGCAATAGCAACTATTTGCACGCATCTAGACAAAATGAATTCATATGCGCATATAATATCAATACTGTTTGTAAATATGTAGACGGGAACGCTAAATTCACCTACACAACTGATCAATTAATCCATCCAAGAGGAATAGATGTCGACTATGAAGGGAATATTTATATTTGTGGATTCGGCTCAAAAAATATTCACCAACTCACAAAAGACGGTAAATTAGTGCAAATGATACCAGCTAGTACATTTGGAATATCTAGCCCATGGAATATACAGTTTGAAATAAACAGTAATAGATTTCTATTGACAGATTATGACTCAGGGAAGATTGTCCTCTGTAAAATTTGTTAAGCATAGACAAGTAAATATTCTTTGCGATGATACCTACATTGGGAAATCTAGTATAAAAGAGAGAAAAAATACCTTTTCTTATGCTAGAGTCGAGAAAATAAATAATCAAGCAATGCCGGTAACAACACTGAACAAAAGTTTTTTTCAAAATAACAATTGAACATTTTAAAGAAATTATTTGTTAAACTGTGCTATTAGAAATATACATGTATATACACGATGTCCAGTATTTATCGAGATAGTTGCATTAGAAACTTGTGAAACTGAAATCTAAAAAGTGCCAATCTTCGCTATATATTGATAAAAAATGAGAAAAAATCATGTTCATACAAACTATAAAGATCTTTCGGATCACCAATTTTTTTTAGTGTTCCACAAAGTCCCTAGCATGGTTCAATTTCCCAAAATATACTTATTTTTCACATTTCAAAGTTTCGAGTACAATGGTCTGCTCTTGTCGCATGAAAATTCAATATAGAAATATTATCTTTTTATGAATATAACAATATAAAAGGCATCTTTTTACTATTTGTATACAATTTAAGAAAACGTCGTCGTCTTGATTTTTGTTCATGTATGTGCAGTCTTCTCGATCTGTTCACATTCAATGTTTTTATCAAAAGAAGGTCCGTTTGAACTTGCGTAGTAACTTAATTTCAGAAGTGCCAATCTTTGCTGCATATCAACCGATTCATTTTGGATTTTTCACCCGACTTTCTCTGATCTAGCCACATATATGCGGATAATTATCATGTTCCAGAGAGAATACAGCCATTAAAAAATAAATTGAAGTTGGTACTCCAGGAATTTATTCGCATATCAACATTTCAAACCAATTTTACACCAAGCTCCTTTTATAGTCTGCTGTACACGTCGTTTTCTATTTTAGGAGAGAAATAATAACATTAAATGAAAGTTTTGTTTTTATCTCAACTTATTTTTATTTCTATTTTTTACCGTAACGTTTTCCCGTGAATTTATAATTAATAGCGTCCTTGCAAAACATCGAAAAGATCTAGTTTTCAGTGTTTACTACAGGAGTTGTAATATTTTGTCAATAAATTTCCAACTGCATAGATGGATGTTGACGTGTCAAACTTAATGAAACTTACACACCAGTAAATATTCTTTGCGATAATACATAAATGGATATTGACTTGTCAAACTTTATTCATGATTTCAACGTCACTAGGTATAGTTCAGCGGTAGAAATTAAAAAAATAATAATGCATTCATCGAACACATGCAGGGCTGAATTATAAATCACTGAGAAGTTTTAATAAATATGAACTTTCAGACAAATGATGCCGTAAGCCTATAAAGGGCCGAAGGTGATCAATTGTATAGTTCTCAAAAGTGTCTTAATTGTTTTCGGATTTATATTAGGAATTTAAAACACACGGAAAAATCAGAGGACATTATTTGATGTAGCATTTATGAAGCCTGTAGGTTATACCAAATTAAAAGAGAATGACGATTTCGGACCTTTATTTTGAGGGTGTGTGTTTTGTTTATAATTCATTCATTCATGGCTCAATTTTTGTTTAAATGTCTTCAGCAAACAAATAACTAAAATGTAAAATGACATTCTTCTCTGTGTGAATTTTAGCCTGGATGGTGGTGGTGTATTTGTGTTTGTACATTGCTAGTTGTTGACAAAGCATATGGTTTATTTTTAAAAAATCAACATTTCTCAATTTACGTTGGCAAATAAAAGAAATGTACGTCATACATTCTGTAAAAAAAAAGATTCGAGACCTACTTAGTGTTTGAAATCTTAATTTAAGATAAAAGCAAATTCCAAAATGTATACGAATAAATTCAGTGTTCAACTTTTTGAGTGCAAACGTCGAGACCCGACAACTTTCACAACTTTCACAAGGGTGTATACGGTTGTTTTCGAATGCTACTATAGACATACTACTTATCTGATATAATATACAGCATGATACTCAGTACTCAGAAACTGTTCGACACAATTTAACTGTGAATTAACCAATAGATCTATAAGAAAGAAATCGTTATTGTATACATCTACCCTCTTTTGTGCTACTTGTATTGGCATCTTTAGTTGTGTTTAAGGAATGTTAAACTGTTTTGCCTTATCTCAGCAATATTATTACGACCTAGTCATATGATGCTCCTACTTTTTGTGGCAATAGTTTTTCAAAATTCTTCTCACTTCGCATTTAATTAAGGCATCATTTTATTTATATATATATGAGACAACTCTCCATCCAAGTCACAATTTATAAAAGTAAACCATTATAGGTAAAAGTACGGTCTTCAACACGGAGCCTTGGCTCACACCGAACAGCAAGCTATAAAGGACCCCAAAAATGACTAGTGTAAAACCATTCAAACGGGAAAACCAACGGTCTAATCTCATTAAAGGGAAAATTCGCGATTTTTTACTATTCATCTTAATATGTTCATAATACCATAAAAACATATTCACCAAGTTTTATCTGGATATGAACACTAATAAAGAAGAAAATTGGGAATTAATAATTTAATTTGTTCGAACTTCCTGACTTATGTGACGTAGTTTAAGTCTTTTTGCATGCCGGGAGTGAATAAATCTCATTGTAAGTCTTGTTCGTTAATCATCTAATAACGCGATTTAAAGCGCATCGACGACTTTTGGCGTAGCTATTAACCAACTAATAATTAAGAAAGTAAAGTGATCAGCCGTGCAACTTTCAAAATTAAAATGTACGATTTATATTTAAAGGATTTCTGATATGATTATAGTAATAAAAGTAAATCATACAATAGATATATTTTTATGATTTTTTTTCCGATGGATATTTTGAACAAACATATATAACTGATATTGTTTTACAAATGCATGTTTGTATTCTCACCTGAAGTCTCTTACTTCAGTCTAGCAAACATTTCCCACTAGTACAGTGTAAATACAATGTGTATTGTACTGTGACACTTAGTGACTACCTGTTGAATGCGTGGTTAAATTCAAGGTAATTAAAAGATTAGCATCCTGTAATTCTATTCTTTTGATCTTCACTCAGTGAATTTTAGCCAACACGGTTCACCGTTACAGGTGTGAACAACATTTCGTATGAATGATAAAAACATTAATTATTTGGGGAGGAATATGGTGGCAAAATACCTGAATCGCCGTTATATATATCTTTTATATTTTTGGTAAGCTTAATTTTAAAATAGATAGGTGAGTATTTTGTTGTAACATTGAAATTCTGAATTACTTTTAATTAAATAATTTTATAAATAAAAATGGCCCACGAAAACAAGCGTATAAACTAAACACTGTACTTACTTTTTCAAATTATCATGGGTATTAACCTTGAATATTTCAATGTTTAGAGAAAATTTTCGCGGTTACATGATTAATATAGCTTGGTCCGTCCACAGCGATCTAAATTTACCTAATCAGGAATGCCCTTATTAAAATATTTAAAATCTCACAACGTGTACATACTTTAGCTATTTGACCAACGATGTTTGAAAAAAAATAACAGATTCAATCTTACGTCAACTTTCCTTTTTTGAATGGAGACAGACCGGCGAAATCAATTTTCAATGTGCTTTATATCTTGTACCTTTGCAAGACTTATCATTCATTCATAAACCCACTCTATACCAGAGACATATGTGTCAGTCTTAACTGACAAGAATACACCTCAAGCGGACAAGCAGTATATTCTTTAAATTTCTGTGATTTGATACCAAGAAAGAAAAAAATCCCGAAATTAATTTGATACTTTGTGATACTCAATATTTTTCCTGGAAAATATTCACATCCACACGTTTGGTCTGAAAATAAGATAATAATATGGTGTACAGAACATGCAGAAGTGTGAATGTCATAAAACCTTGTTATATCAGAAACCATTATAAATGTGAACCTGTATACGTAAGACCTCATGGAACGTCACCTAAGCACATACAGGTAATATACAAGTAGCTCTGTTATACCCGGAAATGTCAAGGTAAATCGCTACCGATACCGAATGTACCAATGCAAAGAAAATTCGGATGATTGTGAAGCGTGACCATTCATGATTTTAGAGGAGTCTTAGGTGGAAATTGCCGGTACGATTTAAATTCTGACTAGATTTTTTTCTCTCAATTTAAATCACTGAACTAAAAAAAAAGAAACCTTTGTCCAAGATCAGAATTCTTCATGTAAATTCATAAATACAACGTTCTTATTTTGTAACTTTCAATATACTTTACCTCCAACCATAGCCCCCTCCCAACCTGGGAACAGTATATTTAACATTACAATGTTTGTGTACCTGCCCAAATCAAAAAAAAAAAGAAGAAAAAAAAGAAAGAGATGAACAGTAAGTCACATCAGATTCAAATATTTATATGGTTGATTGTCGTTAACTGGAGATGTATAGTTACACATCTCTGCGTTAACTTATAAGAATGACAGGAAAGTATATACTTGAAATAGATGTATGATGAATAATATGCAACTGCGGCACCCCTTTTTATCAAAGTGTACATGCATTTTAATGACTGTCCGTTATTTTGATTAAGAATGACAATTGAACGTGAAATTCTATAGTTGCCAGTGAGACTTTTTTTTACCACATATGCGACTTTTCGTATTTATATTTTCTCTTACATTACTCTCATTTAATATTTTATGCATAAGTGCAATATTGGGAATAGTTTATTCCCCCACAAGCCAACTAAATAAATTAATCAACCATCTAGCTAATCAGACGTTAATACAAATACTATCAGTCTATCCGGAGTGAAGTTTCTTTATTTCTTCAAATAGATTTTTTGGGGATCATTAGTGTACGTCCAGTGGCATATATATTACATGCATGTCGGAATAGGAAAGCCGGTTAGCATAATGTACTTTAGAACCATGTTCACATCATTATACATTATATCCAACAATTGTGGTGATGACGAATTTCTTTAACTGTTCGAGAACAATCTAAATGAAATATAAATCTGTGATTTTACTATGTCCATAACTTCAATGAACCAAAGCAAGTGAGAAATCAACCTGTATTTAAATCAAATTGGTTCTGGATGTTCCTCTGTTATATTCAAAAACATGTATATATTTTTAATCGCGACTATCTATATCCGTAACTTTCTATCTAGGCGTATTAACCAATGACCGTCAAGTGCGTACATTTTTGTTATATCAATATTTGTATGTTTCAAAATGTCCATCATTATTGACAACGAGTATATACTTAC